TGTATATGTATATTTGACCTTTATTTATTCATTATATAAACTTACATATATCTGTTCAGACCCCTAAAACTATAACATGTTGAAAAATATGTCTACCTTTGAAAATCCCACCACACAGAGCCTTCTTGTCTGGAGTGAAGGCATACTATTCAAAGACACAGCGACATCTAGTGGACCAAATGGTAGAGATACCTGTATCAGGTTGTTCTCTGCCTACTATCACTCAGGTAACTTTTATCCAAAATAATGCAGACTGAGAAAAACCATAACACTTGATCATGATCAGTGAAGTCAAAAGCAGCAGAAAAAAAATCAAGCAAAACTACTCCTATAATTTTTCCCTTCTCTTTTTCCACATACCAGTCATAAATGATTTGAGAAAAGGCACTGGCTGTCGAATATTTTTCTCTATGTCCATGGGGGAAATTAGTGATTAAATTACTGTAGGAAAAACAAGACTGAATTCGTCCTAGGAGACATTGGTCTTGCCCAAAAATGTATAAAATATAATTTTCAAATATCATTACTGAAGCACTGGATTAGAATTACTGATGCATTCATGTGTACTACAATTTTAATGTTGTAGATAGATGAAATTGAGCTAATTTTCCTTTTAGACTGTGGGGTCTCATTTAACATGGTGGACTTTAAAGATATATTTATGCTGTCTGCACTGGGGAGGGACGATTTGAAAGACTGAAAACTGAAAACGTATACATTGCTTTTGATTTTTGGGAAGTGGCATATCCACACCAGCAAAAAAATAAAATTAAATTAAATTTTAAAATCTATATAGATACCCTGTAAAGTAAAATGCAAGGCTATAAAAACTGAAATTATATGTGAAAATCTGTATCTCAATCTGTAGCCTCTGAACCTTCAAGCATCAATGCATCATTTGAATATGAAATATCACTACCTAAGTTGAGACACTATGGTTGGCGAAGTGAAATATTTCTCCAGAATTATATAAAAGTATATAAGATACATATATCTCTGTGTATTTATATTTAAAAAACTTGTTAATAATAATGAAGATGGTCCTCATCAGCACCGGTAGCTGGTCCAGCAGTGTTATCAATAGCAGCTAACAGTTGCAGTTCCCACTCCAGACCACATGAGGGCAGCACTGCAGAGTTAGTTTTCCTGTTGTCCCACCTTCTGTAAAACATGGCTGCTCCCATGGCGCTCAGACGAGAAGTATTTTCTCTGGCAAGGATACTCAGTGGAGTCTCACATTTGGTACAGTAACTAACATATTTTTATCTTTGTACAACATTAGTGAACGTTTAACTAACAGGACAGTTTGGCAGTGGACGTACTGGTCGGGTAACGTTAGTGTCCCGAGTGTGGTCACTGACAGCAGCTGTAGCATGGTGGTAAAGGTCTTTCTCTGCATGTTCACTCATGTCAGTTTATTTACAGGGGCCAAGAGCTTTGGGCGCCTGTTCAGCTCACAGGAAATGTAACATAATCAGGTAAGCTACAGTTTTTCCTCTGGGCTCGTTTGAAGTCTATGTAGTTTAACAATAAATACCAGTACATGTCACTTTGGAGCTGCTATCTGCAGTAAATCAACGAGGCTGTAGTTATCTTAACAACTGTAAAATAATTAACACTTATTTAATGATTTAAATTGTCACAAATTGTGTAAGCAGCATTGCACATGTCGTAAACAGGGGCGGAGCCAGATGTCATAAACATATGGGGCTCAGCCCAAACTTAGTGGGGTCCAGGGGGAGGCTTTTCTATGGAGTTTTGTTTTTTTAACCTCCATATACGATAGCTACATGCAATATTTTTCAAGCCACTGAGATGATAAAATGTCTGAAAATCTGTAAATCGTTTGGCAAAAGCATGATTGTTGCCAAGGGGAAAAAAATCAACTTTGCTGCATGTCATCCCCCTCTCTCTCCCCATTTGACACTTTATACTATCCTATTGCTTAAAGGCAAAATAAAAAACCTTGGTATTTTGAGAACATGAGGTACATGTGATTTGTTCGCTGCTCTATCCCTGCAGGTCCCATCTCCCGTTAGCATCCAGCGCTTTCGTACACACTGCAACAGTGTTTTTATCAACACCTTCACCAGTGAGTCATCAGCACAATTTATTCAACTTGTTTTTCAACAGCTCAAGATTAAAATGATCTGAACTGAGACGTCCGCTCACATGCATGCATCTAGTTTCCTGTTTCCATTTTTGCCCTTGCAGATCACTGTCACAGAAGAGCCTGACGCACTGTTTCAGAAGGTGTCAGTGTTGGTCAAAGGTCATGACAGCGCCGTGTTGGACAGCTATGAGTTTTTTGCCACCATGGGAGCTAAAGAGCTGGGAATCACCATCAGCAAAGTGTGAGTACTAACAGAGTTAAGCTGTCGCACAAGACAGACATCAGTCATATATTATGGTATATCCTTCTCACTGACATTATTTTGATGATCTTTCCCTCCTCTGTCACAGTTCTGAACTTCCAAAGGACATGGAGAGGTTTACACTCCTGAAGTCAGTCCATATCTTCAAAAAACACAGGGTCCAGTATGAGATGAGAACACACTACCGCTGCATTGAGGTGACATGTCTGAACATGGCTTTTTATGTTTGCTTAATTCAATTAGTCTATAAGAATACCTAAGTTTCTCTTTAAGCCTCACAGTGGTTCTGATGATGTGGTCATGAGTCTTCTCTTCTTCTGCAGCTGTCTCATATAACAGGCTCCACAGTGCAGGTGTACCTTGAATACATCCAGAGGAACCTCCCTGAAGGCGTTGCCATGGAAGTGGCAAAGGTAAGTTACTGCAGAGTCAGTCGCGCACCAGCAACACTCTCACCTGCTCAATCTAAATGTGCGTTAAAACAGCCTGAATGAATGGATCCTTTTATTGATGTTATCAGACCTCCATGGAGAAGATTCCAGATCACATCAGTGAACCCATGTGGGACGACCAACCAACTGGTGACAAGCCCAGCGAGTCGAGTCAGTCATGAGCATCAGATGCAGATTTTGGATGTGTTGTCTCAGACCTCAGTGAATATGTTGGGTAAATGTGAAGATGTGGAAGACCTGCAGTATGAACATGATTGTCATGCACTGGTGAACTGCTCGTCATATAGATTTCAACATTATTGTCTATAGAGACTTGAACACCACAGAAAGAGGACCAGCTACACAACTTGCATTCATTACGTCCACATGTAAAGTTTCATTTAATGGAAGTTGTGGTTTCACCGTCTTTTCTGTGGCAAAATTGTGTGAAATCAATTGTATTTTTTTTTTCACTAAATAAATTATGCATTTATTGACTTTAACTCATCTTTTTGAGCAGTCATTTATTTAAATTGTTACTAATAATACTTCATACATTAATATTACCATGTTTTGTTTAACTGTAGGCTCTGCAGTAATATTGGATTGGGTTGTTATTCTGTATGATGAGCACATGAATTCTGTAGGACACAAGACCAGCACACAAGACTTTTCTTTTTTGCATTTATTTTATTATTAGTAAACCAACATAACCAAGGCTAAACATAGAAAAAGAAGAAACTGAATTTAACATTCATCCTCTGCTTAACAAGTGAAAACACCATGGCGCACTCATTCTGTGGTTGAAGGCGAATACTTCCTGTCATTTTAAGGTTTTCTGGTAAAAGGCCTCGCATTTATCATCATAGTAAAGTCTGTGACCTCTGTAAAAGAAACTGGTCAGAAGCTTTGATTTTTTTGCAGCAGAGAAATTACAGCTATACAACATAAATCACATTAGTAGAATCATTTTTTCATTTTTTGGACAGATCTGACGTAGGTCATGGCTGCAGGGACCCTAATTATAGATGTTGGTTGGGTCACACCTGGCCTCACATCAATTAAATAGTCTCTTCAGTAATGATCTGTGCCTATTGACCATGCAGCTATGATGGGTCCATATTAGATATTTATACCACCTTACTTTGACTGAAATTACTTTACCAAAATTCTTCACATGAGTACACTTCCTCCTGATTGTTTGGATACTGCAGGTTTGAAAACCTTACCACAGAAATTCATCTTTTCTTTGTGGTCCTCTTTTATGCAAATAAATCCCCCCAAATGTTTTTTTCCAATTGACAAAATTATTACAAGGCTTTCTGGGGTAAAATAGGTTCTGTGGACAATTTTAAACTGAAATGTTTATGGCATCTGTTACTTGAGAATGACAGTGCTTCCTTAAATACTGACTTCACTATCTTCAAAAGTACATTTCAGGTCCTGCTCACATTGGTCCTAGTGTTTAGGGGTTTACTCTCTGCAAAGGCCAAAATTCTGATATATATAAAGGACAGAATTAGCCTGGTAATACCATCCTAGTGACATGAGTTCAACGTTCTGTTTCACCCTCTGTATCAGTCCGGACTTGGTGTCGCCCTTAACCCTTTCCAGAAATTCAAATCCAACTGGGGGCAATTAACCCTTTCCAGAAATTCAAATCCAACTGGGGGCAATTGGATATCCTATAGAGTAGACAACCAGCCAATCAGAGACTGCATTGCAGTTGATGGTGTAAAATGCAGGCCACAACTTGCAGACAGTAAAGAAGAAACAGTCAATAACAACAATTATACAAGAGCAAAAGTATTCACCCTCAGAGTTTCTTGAAGGAAAAGATGTTTTTGCCGTTCTTCTGACTAGACTTGGCAAAAGCTTGATTTATCAGCTGACTCTCTTGGTGATGAAGATGTTCTCCAGTGTTTTGTTAGGCTAATTGGCTGAAGGAGTTTATCTGTCAAGGTGAGTGAAAGTGTTTGGGGCAGCAGAAAGTCCAGACTGATACAGAGAGCAAAACAGAATGTTGAGCTCATGTCATCAGGATGTTCTTACCAGGCCAGGACAAGATGCCTCTGGAGTGTTTAATATCTTTTAGAATTTTATCAGCTGGGAGGGACTTTAGGAGAGGTGGAGTTTCCTCCTGGCTCCGTTCTACTTAAGGGAGACCATCTAAGTAAGCCATGAGCATAACAGTGTGCCAGCATGCACAACAGACCTTTGTCACGACAGACATTCTGACATGTCATAATAGCAGGAAAAGCACAGGTATATTCAATAACATTAATGATAGCTGGGTTCCGCTAAGGGGAGGCCCCGGCTCACTGGAACAGCTCATTGGGACACCTAATGGAACTGAGCCATCATTAATGAGTTTTACCTGTGCTTTTCCTACTATGACAAGTCAAAATGTCTGCTGTGAAAAAGGTCCATACCAGGACTCGGACACATATGCAGCTAATTCTATTAATTACACCTGTGCTTTCCCTGCCTGGACATGTCAAAACTGGTTCATGCCAATTGTTAGTGCAATACAACTGATTTATAGATCAGTCTTTTCCTACGTATTCCTGCAGGATCATTGTACAACAAGGTGTACTTACTGTCTGTTCTTGTCAAAACTTCAGTGTAGACTTAGTTCCATGTAAATCAAGCAAAATAAATTCTGTTTGGGTTTGCAAATCACATTTTCCTAATATTGTGCAGCCCCACTTCTATATTACTACAACTATTAATATTCCTCTGTGTCTCACCGAGTTTGGTACGACCCCGTCGTAGTTTCAGCTTCCATCCTGAAAGAGAGAATCTCCAGGCATCAGAGAAGGAGGGGTTTAGGTGTTAAGACACAAGAGGAGGCTCACCTTTTCAAGTGAAGTGCCGGACCTCAGGTGTCACGCCGCTGGTGAAGGAGGGGAGAGATGTGAGGGAGGGCCTGGGTTCCTGGGGCCCGGGAGGTTAACTGTACTGTGTGCCCCCCTTCAGGAGACAACAACAGTCAGGCTGTTATACTCAAACCAAAGGGAGAAACAAGAAGGGACTGCAGAGACTGAAGAGGCAGCAAAATGTACTGAAAGTGCTGAAGAGATGGGGAAAGGGCAGACAGAGGAGGAGGAGGAGAAGGAGGAGGAGAGTGCAACACCTGTCGGGGCTAATTTATGAAACAGGCTAGCTATGATGAATACCTCTTGAGGTACTCTGCAGTGCCTGAGTGGCTCAGACAATAAAATGCTCTTTCATCCAGAAATAATGCAGAAATCCTCGTTTGTGCCAGCAGTAAATACAACATACAGTATTAATGATAAATGCCTCTTCATATGAAGGTGCTCTGGCATTACAGCAGAGCTTTGTTACATCTTTATGATGTCAGTACCTAAATTAACACCACATTATGGAAAAAGGGCTTCTATAGGAAGAAAATAAGAAACTCAAGTATTTGAATTTCAGCTTCCACTTAAAACTTAATTGAGAATTTTTAACACCACTGATATCATATCCTCCTGAGACCCTGTGTCCTCATATGAGGACATCACATTTTGGGTTTACTTGACCTTATACTTCGTTCTACTTGACTTAGACCTGCTGTCCTCATTCGTGGACACTTATTTGTGCCATCTAGTGTTAGTAAGACCACAATACACTAATCCATGTAAAAACAAGATGGCAGCCATCTCTGCCAAGTCAGTCTGCAGCTGATCCTGACACAAAAGAGGACAAGGTCCAAAACCTGATCACATCTTATGGTTGAAACTTATTTATTTATGATTAATAATGTTTGTAGTTTGATATGGCAACACATTTTACCAATTTTAGCAACAGTAACAAGCTAAGACACTGCTGATAATTAGGAAGTACTCATTTGAGGACATTGGGACTTTAAAATGTTAATTTTAAAATGTTCATTTTTTTTATACTTTTCAGGTCCTACTGATCCCAATTGGCTAGAAGAAATTAAAAATGTATACCAAACAAAAGTTTAGGTCTCATAAGGATTTTCTTGAAATATTTTACCATGAAAACCATGTGTCTAAACATTTTTGTTCTGAATTCTCCTCTTTAGTGATTTTCCATCTCAAAAAATAATGCACATATTAACATCCTGGCTACTCAGAATAGGATAGGCAGTCGAGCCTGAATGTTTTGACCAGTCAAATTTTAATGTTGTTTTATTTGCATTTCTTCAACCTGAATGTTTAGATCTGAATTTGACCAGTTGAAATTTTAAATACTGAAACTTACATGTTTGGCTCTTAATTTGTGAACACTGAAAAAAAAATCCAATTCAGCTTCTGATAATGCAAACAAAGACATTTTAATTTCAGAGGTGAATTCAGAACAAATAAATTCAGAAACATGGTTTTTAAGGTAAAATATTTCAATGCTATGAAATCAATGGTGTTTAAATTTCAAAATAAACTATTCATTGGAGGTTAATATTCAAATATTTATGTCAGTTATTTGATTCCATAAACTACATGCATACACAGAGCTTGCGAAACCTGAGGTGCTAAAATGCTTGCTTCTAAAATTGGTTTCAACTTTATTGAATGTTCCATGAGATGGTGTCTGTGTACCATTGATTCTGGAATAAATCATTCATTAAATAATCTTACTATTCTTTTCTGTAAAGGGTACAGCAACTTCATATGCACATACATACATGCATGGCAACTTTTATTTTTTTATCGATTAAAAATTTACAGGAGTATAGGAGAAATTATATAAGAATATTAAATTATAAGAATTATAAACACAGAAAAACACATACATAAACATAATTGTAGATTCTCCAAATCCCTTTGTCACCTTTGATGTCAAATTGAAATTACTGAGCAGCATGAAAATATGAAAGTCCTTGGTCATATCAGAGTGTGTATCCTTTGCAGATGATGTCCTCCTTTTAGACATGCTACCACTGAATTTGAATTGTGGCTTGATGTTTAGTTTCAACGCTTTTCAAGTGGAGCGGTTCTGAATCCTCCAGTCAAATTTACATGGTAACATAAAATGCACTTGAGTGAGTGAAGTTCATCTTTCAAGTTACAAAAAGTGCAATTCATGATTACTTTTCCAAGCATTTTCTTATCTGTAGAAAGTTTCAGCCCTCAGCACGCTGAATATTACATTCAATAAGGGCTCTTGGTCCTCCAAAAAAAAAAAAAAAATATATATATATATATATATATAAAGATGTGCATTAGTACAGTGGTCTTTACATGTATCAAATATTCACTTACAAATATATAACACTGTTACTGTGCCACTGTGAACAATATTAAACTGACATTACAATCCATTTTTCCATATATTACAGATATGATGTAAATTATAATGACAACTCTCAGACTTGTTTGTGAATAAACAAAAAAAGAGAAGTTGAGTTTATTTTTAGTTTTATTTTTTTTTCTCCACGGCTATGTCATAAGTCTTGACTGTTTTCATCAAACACATCACAAGTTCACAAAAGTTATGTTAATTACAGTGAATAGAGCTTTATAACACTTCAGAAATCTAAACACAGTAAAGAACTTATCCTTAACTGAAGCAAATACTACTGAAATTTGCTTTCATTTATAAAATCTACTAGATATATATTTCCATATACTATCATTTATAATGCCTTTTCCATTACAATAGATTGCTGAAGACAAACATGAATGTTCCAAACAGCAATAGCTGCACATTAACGATATAAAATATAAAATTAAATACTCATGAATACTTGACAATTAGAGCATTGTCTTTTCACTTGAAAAAATGTGTGTTAAACAATATTTACTGCACTGCGTGGTGAAGTTATAATACATAACTATTTCCATGTAACAAAAGGAAAGGTTAGAGAGGTCCAAGGTGTACTAAGCTAGTTAACAGTGGTGCTCGAGGGCTGCTGTGCACTCTTTCATTAATTTGTCACCCATCTTTCCCCACCTTCAAATATACACTGTCACCCATTTTTTATTTTTTTTTTTATTACGGATCAGGAAAAGACTCTTAAGGCTCACAGGGTGACTGTAACAAGAACCACAGAACATTTAATAAACTTTGACAAGAATTTTCCTCCATTTGAAAACAGCGCTTTCAAACTTGTTATTAAACATCTTTTTCTCAACAATGTCAAATAGTTCCTACAGTACCAACAGTATTTCTGTAACATAGATGACAGAATGCCTTTACATTGTTAAAGTTGTGAGGCATCTTATGTTCTCATTAGTCATTTTCACATTATCTCTTTGCCAGTAGACAATATCAATAACCACACATTTGGCCACAGAGTATGTCATAAAGATACTCAGAGACTTTGTGTAACACATATTTGAGGGGCGTTTCATTTACTGCACCACTTTAGGCCCCTTCTACATTAACAAAGTGTTTGGTTATTGGTTTTAGGGCAGGCTGTGTTAAAAGCGTCGGCCACCAGGGGGCCCTGGCCACCTCTGGCCTCTGCCAGGTGGGGGGTGAGGCGGAGGAGAGACCGGTCCATTGTGGTAGCTGTGTAAAAGGATAAAATCACACATTGGATTCTTGGCTTTGGCCAATAGGGGGCGCACTCTGATAAGAGCAGCCATCTGAACTAACCCAGTCAGGGATGTCATCCCCTCTCAGTTACTGTCTAACTTTGAAAGGCACAATACATTATAATGTCTTATTCAGTTGTATTATTCCATGCACTATTTAAGAGTCTGGCTTCAAGTAATTGAGCAGTGAGAATACTTTTTATGCACAAGCTAAGTTAACATTCTTTGGCTCAGCATTTGTTGTAATAAGACTAATAATTGTGGCAAAAGTTATACTATTTATTATATTTGATAAACAAACTAAGAAAGAAATGTGGTAATTCGAGGACAAGTTAAAAGTAAAAGAAATTAAGCTACAGTGAGGCTTAAGAGCAAAGGGACAGAAAGGACTGTGCATTGTGTCACAACTCTCAGTTTACTGCATGTTTGCATCAGAATTTAAGGAATATAGCTGGTGTAAGCACATCTCAAATACTCAGATGTATTTCAAAAGTCGGGTGTGTAGGATTTGGTGGCATCGAACAGTGAAGCTACAGACTGCAACCAACTGAAACTTCTACCTTGTGCCAAGTGAGTAGGAGGCCATGGTAACCAACGTGAAAGCACAAATGGCCCTTTCTAGTGCCAGTGTTGGGTTTATTCGTTTTGGGCTACTGTAGAAACAACATGGTGGACTCCTTGGAAGAGGAGCCGCCTCATAAGATGCACACAGCTCACTTTAAGGTAACAAAAACCCAACGGTTCTAATTTTCAGGTGATTACACACTAAAGAAAACATATTTATGAATATCATATTCAATTTCTGCCAATAGATGCCCCTAAATCCTACATACTGGACCTTTAAATCTATTTAGAAATCTTAAAAGCGTGCAAGGAAAGTGCTGAGAATTGTGACTTGCAAAGCTCAGGCGTGATATTAGTATTCAAACAGCTCTTACCCTCTTGGGCCGCGGGGGTGGAAGTGGCGTGGAGGTCCAGGGGGCAACATGCCACGGCCTCGAGGGTGTGGTGGACGCCCTCTGAAACCAGGATGACCTGGAGGAGGGGGTGGCGGGGGTCCATGCCTGCACAAAAAGACAAGCGTAACAACGATACAACACACACTTCTACGTGCACTTTCAGGAGAGGAAACCTTTTGCAGTGAAACACGGGAGCCAGTGTTGATGCAAAGCAGTTGAATGACAACACACATCTACCAAGTGGAAGCTAGTGACGTCTTTTTGGGACAAACGAAAGCTTTAAACTCAGGAAGGATCATTCTTAAATCTCAGACAAACTGTATCCAGGCTGCCATGGTTGTCTGTGCATATGATTGTGTGTGAGATCATTACCTTGGCATGGGTGGGTAGGGGCCTCTGAGGTGCATGGGAGGTGGTGGGGGAGGAGGGGGAGGAGGAGGGCCCATGCCCATGCCCATGCCCATTGGTCCACCTCTACCTCGATGACCTCGTAGGTCTGGGTAAGGTCGCATCCTCCTCATTCCTCTGCAAGGGAAGCACAATAAGTGAAATTTAACCCCCCAAAATTAATATTAAATACAGCACATGTCAAAGATGGTTTAAAGAAACACACTATACTACTACACTTTTTAAAAACACCACTTGTTTGCATACTACCCAATTAATAAAAGCAAAACTTTTTACATTTTTTCATTTGTATTTAAATATCCGTACCTCATGGGTGCAAATCCATTAATGGCTCCATCTTTCCCTCGACCCCTCCCATATCCAGGTGGACCAAACCCTTTTATCATGCCCCGCCCACCACGCATGCTGCCTCGACTCATCCGACCCCCTCGACCACGGCTTTTAAATCCACGACCCCTGAGGAGAGAACAAAAATATGAGGGAACTGCCACCAAGCAACGAGTCCAAGCTTCATATAAAAAAAATAACATAAGGATGAAACAGGAAAAACACCTGACACTGGCACCACCTGTTTAGAAGTCACTCAAGGGATAAGTAGCCCTCGCCTTTCCTTTGCATGTGGTTTAAAATCATTATATATCCATAAATACATTATCAGGCTGTAAAACTGACCTAAATTTGTTGTCCGTTAAGGGTTTCTGAGATTCATCCTTGGAAATTTTTGAAGTTTCTGTCACCTTTTCTTCTGTGTCTGCATCCATCTGAAATGATGCAGGTCAATATTAATATGCAGTACACTGTCACTTGTCTAACAGTAGCATTTAATAAATACAAACAACGCATACAAAACATATACAACACCTGCCTTAACATGAAAAGGACTTCTATATACTTAAATGTCATTTGAAGAGTCAGTTGCCAAGTATGATATCCCACATGAAAATTTCTTTAAATAGATTATTAGATTATCTCAAAATCAGTGTTTGTCTGTTCCCCCACTGTTTATTTTGGAAACAGAAATGCAAAATGATTCATTTGGAAAGGATTTTATCTCCAGATTATATAAGCTTTTATTTGAAGGATCTTCTAAATCCTCTATATTAAAATTAAATGCCTGGAGATCTCCACTCAGAGGACTGGGAAGCAGCATGTGCTGAAGCACAAACACAAACTATTAATACTCGGATTGCTGCAAAATAACTGGCTGATGAGGATTGTGTGACACAAGTATAATAACGCTATCCCAGACCTGTGTGTTCAGTGCAGACAGGAGAAAGGGACCTATTTTCACTGTGTTTGCGAATGCGACAAAGCAGAAGAGTTCTGGCGGGAGATTAAACAAGCTCTGGAGAATACATTGGGCATACAATTAACGTTTGACCCAAAGTTTACATCCTGACAAACATCTTATGTCCAAGAAAGATACTGCTGCTTTAATTCTCTGTCTGCTGCTCACAAAAACAGTCATCTCACTCTCTCAAAGTTCATTAATTGGATTAAAAAGTTAATTGTAACTCTACCTCTGGAAAAGATTACAAACATTTTTAGAGGGAAATAATCGTTCTTTGACATTATTGGGGGTCCTTTTCTACAATACAAGGAGAATATTGATGTAAGTAAGGTCATGAATGTGGCGGGTGAGACATGAATGTAGTGGTCCTCTGCAGTTGTTTGCATTTTGTTATCTGTAACATGTCTAACATGTAAGGGAAGACATCGTTTTGTTGTTGGACAATAATCTCTGTGCTACTGAAATTCTTCTGGATGGAAACACAGTTGCTTCTGTGTTTTGAGAAGGTATTTAAAAATTTGATAAAAATATTGCAGGGGGAAAAAAGTTTTCCATATGGAAAAATGCATTTTGCTTTCACATGCAAAATAAATTATTCAGTCTCTGCAGAAAGGAAAAATAGGGCATTTTACTATTTTAAAAATAAATTGAAGCAGAAATAATTTGTAAGTTCCCTGCAGCTATGAGGTTATCAAGCATGATGTAAAAAAATGGGAGCATTGTTCCCATTTAAAAGGTATATCTCTTATTTATTCATGTTTAAGGTTTTATGAGACAATTATAGTAAATGATTAATTATGGCATAATTGATAATAATACTGACATATAGGTATGTGCTTCCACAATGTGACACAAGGCTGTTAAAATGTCACTCAGCAGATCTCGGAAACATGAAACCTCAGTGATGCATTCATTGCATAGCTCCATCACTGGGTGTGCATGCCTCACACTAAAGCAGGTGACAAGTTTGAATGTTAGGCAGGGACAACTGAAGTCAAAGCTGATAGCGGGAAAATTATTAATAGTCCCAAAGCCTGGATCACTACTGTAAAATGAAACATCTGTGACACTGCTAGACAAGGGGACTGTGGAGAGTAGACTTTTGTGATACAGGGGAAAGGTAAGGTAAGGGGGGGGGGGGGGGGGGGGGGGGGGGGGCTGGGGTTAAGCATGAAACTACCACTTGACATACTTGAGGAATTTGCATTTGTGGAGTGACTTTCAAAATCTGCCCTGAAGGATCAACTGCCCCAGAAGACTAAAACCTGAAAAAGGCACCTGTAACTTGTTTTTCTTTGTATGTGTCTGACACTTTGGTTGAGGGACCAGCCAATGGAATATAATGCATGTTTCTTTACTGTATTATCACCTGAATATAAGAAATGTGGTGGGGGTTATTTTGATTATCTTAAAATTGGCCCTTTTATATCTAGATGGGGAGCAGGTCCTCGTCCACAGAGATCGCCATGTTGCATGTTTTCTACAGTAGGTCTCTGCCACGAGCACATTGGAAAAACTCTGCCTTTTCAATGTTAAACAGTTTTATTCAGTGTTTGTACTGGTTTTATTCACCTAGTCCATTTGTTTTTAAGGAAGAGACCTCTGCATATATTTTGGCTCCCAGTAAAAATCTCCTGAACAAGGAACACTGAAGGAATCCTAACCATGAGTTCACATTTGGCACATGGGAGACGTTTCACCTAGCTACAATCTGCTAGATGCCACTAAATCCTATACCTTTAAGAGGTCAACACATTAGCCAAATACAGTTTTCAACAGAACCACATTGTAAGATAAGCCATCTAAAGATGCAGTAACCATTAGCACAACTGTTTAGTCATAGTAGGAATAATATTTTTATAAACAATATTGCAGATGGTTTCAGGTATGATGAGGTCACCATGAGAATACTATTTCATACTCCCCCTACAGGAACAATTGTCCTTCATCGTGGTCTTTTCGGCAAAAAGTCTAAAAAACACTGAGGACTTTTTATCATTTGTTATCCATGTGTACATATATATATATATATATATATATATATATATATATAGACACTTTAGAAAGATAAGACCTAGCTGTAAGTAATGCCGTCTAAATCAGGAGCTCTTTAATTAATCCTGCAATGAGGTTAAACTGATCAGTTTTTCTGATGGTCACTTCGGAGGTGGTGTTTCAGATATTTTGTGCATGACATTTAGATGAATGAGAGTAGACTCTCCCTTCATATTCATCCTTAATTATATGTATATATCTTTTACACAGATATCTAGACAGACAGATAAATACTTGTGGGACAGTTTTATTGCTTGGGATGCACTATCTCTAATGCCTATAACAATGAAACTTCAAAGAAAAGGGAGATCTGTCACAAACACACATTATCGTAGTGTTATTTTAAAGTAAATAAGCCTGCAGAGCCATAGGCACGTCGAGCGTCATGGAAACATTTCTATCCTGATCCACAGAGGCGGTTGGAGCTGTGTGACCTCTTAAATATTAAGCTAGGACCATCAAAGAGGCCCTATGCAACAAATACACGTAAAGCCTCTAATAACACCTCTTAACTCTGTTTAGCACACAGGAGCTAATGTGGGGCACAGCCGGCTAAATTGTAATACAAAGGGCTGGGAAGGCCTCGTCTAATTCCTGGAATAAACATCGCAGAGCCGACCTGACAAACAGCACATTGAACCAAAAACAGTTGCTTTTTAAAAATAGTCTTCGGGTAGGAATTTAACGTTTGGACAGCCATTTTCCTAACTAAAAAAAATAAATAAACAAGCCTAACATAAGTGTATTTAAATGTTAACTAGTCATATATAAAAGGGGCGTTCCTGTGGTTTTCAAACGCTTTGCCGAAAGAGAGAAGCCACTTACTTCAGCTGGTGATGCAGGCGAGGTAGTAATGCAATTTTCCTACGTGCTAGTAAAAATAAAAATATATTACAAAAATAAAAAATATACAAAATCTCCTACAGCCTCTGTCGCTCCTTTGCGTTTTGAAATGGCGGCTTCGTCAGACTAGACTACAACCAGGTTTGGATTTCTTTGTGAGGAACACATTATGAGGAGTAACGCCCACCGGGAGGAATGCTGGTATCTGATTGGCTACTTGTTGCTGTCATTCAGTTTACCCTTATATAGTTCTGCATTCTGATTGGAGGAGTGGGCTGACGCGCGTTCTAATTGTCCTGCTCATCCTGAAGACGGTAATTAACTGGGCCACAAGTTCAATACACATCAATTTATTGTAGATGTTTTAGTGTGTTTGTGTATATAACCCATTTGTTTACTGTGTAAACATGTAAACCAACATACATACATTTGGGATAAATCAGACGAAGAATTAGGCACTTAAAAAACAACAGAACAAATTATTTAATGGCTTTCACACACAACCAAACTTTACAATTGCATGCAGCTATTTAAACTCTAAAATACACCAGAAACATAATGCAACCAACATGAAGTTTCTCTAATTTCTCTATTAACACACACAGGAATATAGGAGAGATTTTTTCATCAGTAAAGCTGTATCGAGATAGCAAATATCAACAGCAAACATTAAATTCATAACTCCATCAAAGGCAGCCTCATATACAAAGTAATTGCCAAGTGCCCGCTAATCAATATATACACCAAGAGTAGGGCAAACAGGAGAAATATTAAATGAGATGATTAAGTTATGTTAAAAGATGTTCCTCATCAAATATTTAGAACCAGCTCCACTGAATGTCCAGATGTGAGGAACCCTGATGCGTAAAAGGTCCATCGGTGTCCGTTACGCACGGTTCAGGATGTCTGAAAGTTTGTTGATGTATTCAATAGTGTATTTGAGGGTTTGTATCTTGGTCAGGGGCTGGCTCCTCTTGCTGTAGTCCGGCGGCAGGTAGTCACGGAGCTGGTGCAGAGCCTCTGCAAGGCTCCTCATCCGCATCTTCTCCCTCTCGCTGGCCTTCATGCGTCTTTTCGTGGACATCTTGGGCTTGCTCAGCCTCTGCGCTGATGTTGGAGTCTCTCTGCGTCCTGTGAAGCCGAAAGTCAAGTCCTTCATCTCATGATGCCCGCTAGAGTAGCACATCTCCGGCGAGGAGCACATGGAGTCAATGGAGGAGGACTCCGGTGAGGTGGACTGAAGCGAGTCCAGGTCTTCTCCAAAACTGCTCTCATGGCTCTTCCACTCAGACAGTATTTTAGCCGTGACAACCTGCATGTCCATGTTGGAAATATCCCGACACTTCCAGACGGTCACGCAGCGAGGGATGACATCAGGGGTGGATGACAGGCTTTTATGTGGAGGCGATTTGGCCAAAGCGTTTTTATACAGAAGCAGATCTCCGGAGGTTTATGGGTTCACAGCTAAGGCGAAAAAAAGTTCAAAGAAATCCTCAAGTGCCAAAATGCGACCTTCCCGAAGGACGTCGTTCGTTATCACTGGGGTGAGAATAAGGCTAAATAGACGGATAATGTGATAGAAAGAAAAATAATTAGATTCCTTTTGTGGGAAATTACTCTTTAAAGTCTGCACGGCGACAATTATCAGTTTGATGTGATCTGTCTAATGAAGGAATGGGAGGATGCTGTGTCACCTGAGAGCTTCACACCTCTCTGGCAAGTCAGGCCTACGTGTGTCTTCAGTCTGGACTTTATATGGTTAAAAAAACAATACTATTTTTAACTTATTAAGAGTATAGTCTCACAGGCAGAAAGTGATTAAAAATCTATGACAGCAACTAAAGGTTCAGAATGAGCAACAATCATTGTGCTGTCTGGAAATGCCCCTATTAAACAATGAAAGGTTCTTTGTACTAAAATCAAGTTTCACCTTTAAATGCACACATTTTGCTACTTGCCACCTGGAGTGACGCTACTTGTTTCCAATGTAGTTTTTCCAGTTTCCATCAAGTGTAAATATCCTTAACAATTGACAAGAAAATTACACAGGACTCAGGCTACTTTAGAAGATAACTTAATTTGCACTGGAAAACAAGCTGAATTATCCTGACAACTAGTTGGATTTTCAGCACATCCTTCAGGAAAACTAAGGTTTAAGACCCAGTACTAGGATGAAGTTGTTATTTGGGCAGAGGATGCAGCTGTCACCAAGCTCCTGCCAGACCTTTCATGTCTGAAAAAGGTGTGTAAGGCCTCACTCGTGATCAAGGGCGCCAACACTGGCAGGTTGTAAAACCTCAGTGTCCTCTGTGTCCCTCAGCTGCAGTGCCTTCTCTCACCGGCTGTGTGAAGTGACATGTAGCTTGTCAAACAGCAGTGGGAGAAAATAAGCACATGTGGTGCTGTTAAATAGCATTACATGCTAAAAACTGTGCGAATCCGCATCCTCTACACCCTGATTTACATCAACAACTCCTTTCAGGATCAGAAGAACAGGTTAGGCAAACATTGGTGGAGCAAAACATTTGTGAAGAACTTATTTAATTATTTAAATCTCACAACATATACAGCAACAAACACACACAAATTAAGAGTAAAATTGCCAGATAAAAATGTTTGACTCAAGGTCCAATTAGTAGCTTTTTCTGGAGCTGTCAAACCACGTCACTCATAGTCCACGCTTACTACTCAAAGATTCAGTGTGTAGGATTTAGGGGGATATATTGGCAGAAATGGATGATAATGTACTGTTTTCTTTAGTGTTTAATTACAGAAAAATAAGAATCTTTGCATTTTCATTACCCTAAAATGAGCAGTTTATATCTACATAGGGAGCAGGTCCTCGCACCGCCATGTCTCTGTGTCTCACTGTCTGAAAAACACTGATTTCTTTTAACATGAAACAGCTTTATTCAGTGTTTTTACCAGTTTAAATTACCTGGTTCGTTTGTTTTGGAGAGGAAGAGACCCTTGTGGATAATTCAGCTCCCATAAATAACCTCCTGAACAATGGACACTGAAGAAATTCTAACCAGGAAAAGTTTCAGCTGGTTACAATCTGCAATCCTCACTGCTGGATGCCACTACATCCCCCTATATGTTACACACTGGACCTTTGAAACTGTGTTTATACACAACTTTTCCCACTGTTTTACAGAAACAGTTCCATTTCGGATTACAGTAACAGGTGGCAGCAAAGCTTAGACTAATTTTTACTTAATTGGTTAATTGTTTGGTACATGAAACTAAGAAAAACACTGATCAGTTTCCAAATCCCAAGCTGATGTCATCGAATGTCTTGTTTTGTCTGATCTACAGTCCAAACGTCAAATACATTCAAATTTTTATTAAAGTTAAGACAAGGAAAAACATCAAATTCTCATATTTGAAAGGCTAGAATCATCAAAAGTAAAAATCAAACCCCGGATTCACACTTGTTTGACATTTCTACTCGCTAAATTTAGGTATTTTTTCAGTGCTGTTTCTTGGATGCCTGCTGCTTATGGTTGGCACCTGGTCACTACCTTCGTATCAGGCCCCAACCTCACCTGAGCGCTGTGGAGGTACATGCACATAAACATCAGGAACACATAAAGTCTCTGCAGAAAAATACACCACTACACACCTCTGGTGGGTCATAAGTGATGATTGAGAGGGATTACTGTTTGTGTAGGAAAATCCTGCATAGTATACTTTTAAACGATTATTGAATTATCAAAAGAGTTGCCGATCAATTTTCTGTCAGTTTCTTCATCCACTAATTGCTGCAGCTCTTCTTTTAAAAGCTGGTAGGCCAACCTTGAGATAAGAGTTATTTGTTAAACTCTATGTCAACACTTCACATGATTTGACATAAAATAGCTTTCATGCTGTTGTCCATCATCCTGTTATCGTGCTGCTCACTTCTGGAACTTCAGTCTCAGTCTCTCTGCCAGTGGCAGGGGACTCTCACTACAAATAACTGAGTCATCGCTATCTAACACAATGACAGGTGATGCAGGAGTCTGAGGGAACACATCTACATCCACATGAGCTGGTGAGACATCCTGGCATTTGCTTTTAGTTGCTACAGGTAGGATGTTAATCTCGCTGTCTGCAATTAAGCTCTGAGATTTTGCTGGTAATAACTGAGTGGTAGGAGCTGTTTTTACAGCTGGTTTGGTTGATTTAGGTTTCAGGGGGAAATTTGAGATAATGATCTTGTTTGTGGGCTTGATTTTAGCTTTTCTCTGAGGTCCAGACTGCCGGTTCTCTGCATCACTTTCCTCGCTGGATGAACACAGGCTCATACACACACTCTTCTTGGTGCTCTGCGACGTGTTCCTGTCTATGTCAGTTTGACTTGGGTCAGTGTGGCACCTCTGCCGTGGGACAAGCGATGATGAAATGGCTTTTCTGACAAATTTGTATTTGTGAGGGGGCTTTTGGGAGATGTTACATTTGTCCTTTGTCTTACTTTGAGCTGCAGGCCTCAACTGCTGTTTTGAACTGCGAGTTTCTTCCTTGTTTGATGTACACTGTGTTTTGTCAGTGAATGGCTCTTTTTTGTACACAGCAGATTTCTCTCCTGACAATTTACTGTCACCTGTACCTTTACTGGAGATCTGGCCACTTGAGTTATGAGGAGAAATGTGATTGAGAGTGGATGACTCATGGTGTGGTTGTTTCGAGACCACGTCAGTGTGTATCTCCTTCTGGTGTATAGCTTTGGCTGTGTTCCTCATGAGCAGCCTGTCCCTTAGAGGACACTCTGTGTAGCACAACTCTAGAGCAGATCTGGATTCTGCTTCTCTGACGTCACTTGAGGTTTTCTGCTTGGTGTTTTCGCCCTCTGTTTCCCTGACACCACTGTCTGTGGTTTTGCTCAGCTTGGGCTCAGTGGTGTGGTTATTAGCTGATTGTGGGGTTGGAGAGGATGTGAAGGACAAAGCCTCCCAGTCAATATCACTCAGGTGGAGAGCGTCGATAACAGCAGAGACAGAGGGTGATGCAGCAGCAGCCTCTGATTCTCCATGAGACAGAGGAGTGCTGGGGCAATCACCCAGACTGCTGTGGTCTTCTTTTGACTTCCAATGCTGTTTATAGTTCACTGGAGTGTCCACAACCACCACTTCTGGTTTATCTGTGGTTGAAACAGTAGGGAGCAGCACATGTGGTTGAGTGTTAGAGGAACTCTGAAGGGTCATCTGTGCCAAGAGGTCAGAAATACCATCAGAGACATCAGATGGCTTCTCCTTTTTACTCTTTGGTTTTCTCTCTGCAAAGAAGATTGAAACCACAAGTCAGTGTTAAACAACTTCAAGCTGTAGTTGGTATTAAAAATAACATTTTTTCATATTTGCTGAAACTGTCTCTATATTTGCATAGCTGTAATCTGTGCAAAAGAAATCACATTTCTCTGCCTACACAGTTGCCTTGTAGAATTTCTAATGGCCTTACTGCATGTGCACAAATACAACCAATCAGAGCCGTGGAGTCTCTAACGCAGCTGTCAATCACTGCTTGAAAACTGCGGTGGAACTATCAAACTAGGCAGCGCTGATCAAATTTAAATCAAGATTATGTTAATGCATTGCCTATTCCTCACCTCACATGTTTACAGAAACACATTTTAATGAACTGTTTAGCTCTAAAATTAAAAGGTTTGTGAACCGGCTGCCATGTTGATACAGTTTAATAGGAGAACCAAGCTCCGTCCACCAGCTGGACCAACTTCTCATTTTACAGCTAAACAGTATACTAAAATATGTTTCTGAAAATATTTGAGTGAAGAAATAGCAAATGCAATTTGAGGCAGAAGGAAGAGGAGGAGGGACATGATTTTTTCCCCAACCAACTATCTGTATCATGTACTTCTTTCAGAATATAGCGAGAGTATTAGCATAATGTGACACAAAGTTATTTTCACTGAAATTACCAACTGTTTCTTTCAGGATTTCAAACGTATTTTGAAAGAGTTAAAGAGTAAATTCAGTGTTTTCTCACCTGCATGCTATTTCCTCATATTTTGTTGCTTAAATGACTAATGGGAACAACATTTTTTTGAAGCTGGCCCAGTATTGAACAAGCCTGCTTCAGCCAGCAGTGGCGAAACAGTCTGCAATGTAACCATTTGAGGCATGTTAGCAATGTCATTTATGTCCACTTAAAGTGTTTGTTTTTGCCACTGACCGGTTCAGATGGTTATTAGTGTCTGACAACATTATGGAAACTGTTCTTACAGACAGAGACCTTTTTGTTGAAGAGAAAGATCCTTTTTGTTTAACCAAAAACAGTCTTGAAATTGCGACTGCCAAACCCACAAACTCCTTTTAGCATGTAGCTAGAGCAGCATATTTTAACATCTGACTGGGTGGATTAAGAGTTTATTTCAACCAAACCAGAGTTGGTGATTGTTGGAAGAGTAGAAACGATGCTTTTGTGAGTTTCAATTCTTTTTTAGCGAGTTTTACAATGATAAAATTACTGCGTGTTTAAATGGAGTCTGGTGGGTTTGGCGATGGCGATTTCAGGGCTGTTTCTGGTTAAATAAAAAGGATCTTACTCTTTAACAAAAAAGGTCTATCTCTGTATGTACTGTTAGTGGATGTAAAATCAAAGTGCGAACATGCGCTGAGTGGTTACTTTGCAGCCTGTTTTGCCGCTGCCGACTGCAGCAGTCTCTCATTACTGGACCAATTTCAAACATTATTGTACCCATTAGTTACTTAGACACAAAAACTAAAAAATAAGTTCCATGTTTAAAAATACTAACAAAACAATCACTGTGTTATCTCTTGACTGTAAGCTCTTTCAGTCCCAGTGGCTAGTTTTCCTACACATTAGGAAGTGAAGCTTTACAGCAGTTATGACGGAGGGGGGAGCAGAGTACAACCTGCATAAAGTGACAGCGAGGCCTATGAGACAGACACCTCTCAGCTGCATCAAAGCCTTTGGTGTGAACTAGTAGAGCTGCCAAACTCAACATTTTCAGGTGTCAGAGCTGCTGCAATAGACAGCCTCGAAAAACAAGTCAAAGCGCCAGGTGCCTTTGATCAGGACACCCTTGTCAGTGCAGTGTGGGAAGTCTTGGAGCTTGTCAAGTCTGTGGGGGGGCTTTCAGTTTTGTTGTGAAAAACATGTCTAACTTTACTGGTTTATTTTAAATAAACTGTAAAATTCTTACAAAATATTATAAAGTATTGTCTTACTCTTGGTCTTGTTCTCTTCGGCCAGAGCTTTGTCTCTAAGGTAGTTCTCCACCACTTCTGGAAAGGCCACACGGAAGAGAGACTCTTCTTCCACCGTCCTCACCTCATGTTGATCGTCTGCAGGCCGATCCTCAGGAAACACATAATGATCTGCAGAAAAACACATCAAGGTCAGGTCCAAATTGCTCCCAATAAGGCTGTCATTTATGTTATATAGGGAAAAAATGGTTCTTTATGAAATGACAAAAAAGGCCAGAGACAAGAATTACTAATTGTTGTGCACCACTTTTCACTTTTCATAAGGGTTGCAACTTCTTATAGATTATTCTTCATATTATAGTTTTGATTAACTGTTTGGTCTGTAATCATAAAACTTGAAAAATTCTAACACAATATTCTAGCTGCCGAAATTATGTGTTCAAATGTCTTGTTTTCTTAAACCAGCAGAACAAAAACTCAATAATTTTTGATTAATTATGTTAGAAAAGGTAAATCAAAAAGCTCTCACATCTGAGGGGTGCATTCAGGTACAGGTACACTTAAATTCAATGCCTTTTTGGACAAGTCATCTTTTCTCATTCAAGCAGTGCAGGTAGGTATAAAGAGCCGTAACATATATGTATATGTGGTCCCATGCAGAGGTAGGTTATGCATAGGAGAATGGTTCTTATCAGTGTGAGCTAAATTAATCTACATTTTGCAGACAGGTAAGTGCAAATATAAAGTACCGTAAAAAGACAGCATTAGGTTCAGTGGTCGCTTTAAAGATTTAAAACACCAGAAATGTGTACTTTGATGCAGAAGGGCTTGACTGAGTCTGACAAAATAAATTAAAAGTTGAATAAATTAAATTAAATAAAATGTTTGTGGTAATTAAGATGTCACAAATTCCAATTTCAGACTATTTAATGACTTTTAAGGTCTAATATAATATTTAAGAAATTGAATTTAAGACATTTTAAGACTTGTTAAGGACCTGCAGACACTGGAAACCATCAAATAGTTGGCATTTCTGCCGGAAAATAACTTTAATCATTAATTTTTCATCAAAATAAAAACTAATTACCTTTTTGTCTATCAACTTATCTACTAAATTACATATTAAAGCAGCTTCATATAGTATGATTTGGAGATGCAGTGTTTTGAACACAAGCAGACAAGACTTTATCAACAGAACATACAAATACAGCACATCTTTATACAAAATGCATATACTTTAGCCCTTAATTTATAGCATTTATACATTTAAATCCATTATGTAATAATTTAGTTGTATTAAAATACTTTTTTCAAATGATTGTCGATTGAGACTTTCTCAGGCTGGTCGTATCAAGCAGGCTTGTTAGTGAAGTAGACTTTGATATGACAGATTTCTCAGCCTAGGGAGGAAGCCAGTTTAGCACCTAGTGGCTGTTGTGACTGATCTGTCACCTCTGAACCCCACCTCACAGCAAGTCACTAACAGACAACCCGGTGACGAGCACCCCGCACCCCAACTCCACCTAATGCAGCAGTCACGTCACTCAACCCAGGGGATGTTTTCTTAAACACTGCTTTTTCCCTCTGATCTGCTAATAAGAAAAAATGAAGACTGCAAGAAGTGTTGATGAGATTTAAACTGACCTGGTACGCTCCAGATGACTTCGAAGCAGGCGATAGCATTCCTCACCCTCGGTTTCAATATTCTTGTGAAGGAAAATAAAGGTGTTGCTTATTACGCATGTGCTGAAATAACCTTTTATTAGCCTACAACAAAGTCACTGAGGAGACCTTTTTGTTGTAGTTAAAGTTTAAAACAAGACTACCTGAGGGGTTTGACTTGGGAGGACATTTCTCTTCCATATTTTCTGTTCATCAGTTCTGCGTAAGTCATCAGGACTAAAACCTTTTCACTGGTGTAGTGCTTCAGCCACTCCATCTTGTCATGGGCAAATTTCTGGAAAACAAACATCTCAACATGCAACTCACTTGACAAAGACATACCGGACTGAACAAGTAATCTAAATAAACACATTACCTGCATCATCAGCATATTTGGCTGTCTCCTCTTGAAATGTGACACAGGTTTATCCTTGGAAATCAGGAACTCGTTAATGATCTGCGAAATACCATTTAAGTATTAAAAACCAAAGTTATTCTGAAGATTATTTTACGTAACAAATGTTGTCATGATACCAAAATTTTAAACTTCCATACTGTATAAAGAAATGATACTTGATACCGCTTTCAATTCCACGGCAAAAAGGAAGTCCTGGGCACACAAAATAATATATATATTTTTTAATTTTACTTATGATCTGCCTCCAGTCACATTGTGGGTTTACCACTGGAGAGAAAGCCCTGACAGCTACAGGTTGAGGACCAGTTAATTTTCTTCCCCTTTTGTTTAATCTTTGCAGCCTTGAGTTTAAACTCTGAATCCCAATCATTTTTTTATAAATATATAGCTTTGGTACTTTTGACACTATCGAATGTATAATTAAAGGAGACTGTATAGTTTTAAACATGTGGTATTGACAAAGTATCGAAGTATGGATGCTTTTGACAACCTTAATTATAACAGGAACACATTAACCATAGTAGATCAAACAGCTGTACCTCTGTAAAAGGGAACTGTTGACTCGCCAGTGTCTTCCTAAAAAAGAAATGAAACACAAAAAGAACAGATTACACATATCATGAGAGCAAACCATCCTTTAAATCATCACAAGTTTGCAAAGCCTCTGCTGACATCTTCAAGTCATATTTTGTCCGATCAATAGTCCAAAACCCAAAGACACCAAGTTTATTGTTGAGGAAGAAACCCAGAAGATTTTCACATTTGAGTAGCTGAAGCCAATTAATTATTTTGCCACTTAAAATGCCCTAATGAGTTAACAATTAAATTACCATCTGCAATCTCTAATTCTTTATGATTCTAGATAAATGGGAGACTAGCTAGTGTTACAGGCTTACCCAGACTGAATGCTTCAAACAGACAGAATCTAGATTGTTTCATACCCATTCTACCAGATACCTCAAATGAGAAGCTAGCTGATTTAGTTGAATATTGGGGACCACCGTTCCTCCTTGATCTAAACATAATTGCAACTTAGCAAATTTAAGTCACAGTCACTCAAGGTTCCAAATAAATGTCCTAAACCAACTGTTTACTGTCTTGATAGTATTATCATCTAACAGGATTGTAATCATTTGGCACTGGTAAAGTTGCCTGGGCAAAATAATCATCTTGATCAGAAAACCCAAATTGATATTTTTGATGAAAATTGGTCAAAATGGCTACTTATATGTCAACTAAAAGGCCTGATTTTGTAGAGTAGTACTATGTTATGGGCATGATTCTCAACCTTAAATATTTTCCTTTTCCTCTTAGTGCAGAATCAATACAGGTTGACTAGTATGTGTATGTGTATCGCTTAGCATGTGTATGTATGTGTGTATGCATACACGTGTGTGTATGCATATGCATATATACAGTTTTTGTTTTTTATTAAAGAAGGAATCCACTCCTACTTTTTGTTTTGTTCTAGCTCACTTTAAGTATGTTTTTGTGTCTAGTTGACACTTGTGTAAAACCTAATAAAAAGTAAATACATTGAGAAATGAGATCCTGTGTTGTTTTTCATTAACTGACATAACATGAATGGGCTCTAATATTTTCCACTAGCGGTTCAATCCCAAACTCAAATAACATCAGCAATCAGCCAAAATGACTTGAAAAATATCAGCATATTGGCAAAAATCCCTAGTTAACATGTTGCTTATGTTCTTTCTTTCTCATCTTATTCCACTTTTTCATTTTCTGCATTTATATTTATTATTTTTGTGATAAAATGCAACTACTGTTCATTTACAGAAAGTCACACACCTTCTGACATTTGCCTCGAAGGACACAGCCTGCCGAGTCTGTTCATAGCGATGCCAGTCACAGGGACACTGGTAGTCAAAGTCCTGAGGTTGACAGAAACGTTTACTGTCACAAAGCACACAGCCGCCACGTTCATGTGCCTTTGCTGACCCTTAAAAAGGATGAGGATGAATCAGTATTAATATGTGATAAAACAGGAATAGTAGGAGAAGACAAACAACTTTAAAATCTAACACACTAATACAACTGGGGTCTGACCCATCTCTCACATACGTGTATGTTTTGACATGTTAATGGCTCCAAAACAGCCATGTGTGAGGCATGTCCTCTTGGGGACAACCCCCCTTTTGCTTTCCACCTCTTATCAAAATCAAAAACAGGGGTCACACAGTTCAAAGCACTCACCAGGATGTCGACACAAGTTGCAGTGAGGAACCTTCTTCACAACTCCCTCAGACACCCCCACGTTCTCCTCCTTCCACTGGATGAACCTGAGGTGATTAGGGAAAGGTGACAAGAGCACAAACACGACACTACACACACTCTTTATGTGAGGAAAAGTTATACAGAAAGGAAAATCATGCTTATGTGCAAGAAAATAATCTACAGTGAGTGTGTCTCTTACCTCTGCAGGAGTGTTTGTCCTTTCAGCATCTGAATAAGCCTCAGAGCTTGCTCTTTACCAACACCTGGTATGCCCTTATAAAAGAATGACAATTAACATAAGTCATTCATCATAACAGTGATTTTGAAGATAAAGATTTCAGATTGAAATGTCCTCCTTACCTTAGGAATATAATCACAGCCAAGAAAGATGGCAAGACCAACTAGATTCTCTCTGGTGAGATGTAACTCTGTTTGTACCCTTGAGGTCTTGTAGCAGTCCACCTGAGGGTCCTGGAGGGAGAGGTGAGAAACAAGACTGTGAAGATTTGATGGTTTTAACATTTAAGACATTAGCAGAATAATAGAAAGAATCAAACATACAGATAGGGACGTAGTTAAAATTAAATGCGTAGGGCTAACAATATTTTTAATTACTGAATAATGTATGATTTTTGATCGTGTAATTGACTTAGGGCTGAGCAATATATTAACATTTTATAAATATCATGATATGAGACTCAATAGATAGAATACTGAACACAATACTGAAAAAGCACAGCTTGTAAAGTAACACCCAAGTGTTACTTTAGCAGTCTGGGAAAACTTTAAATCACTGGACTGAGTTTCGATTCATAGGCATAAATTCAGTTGTCTGGGAACCAGATGAATGTTAGAGCTTGTATTTTATTTGCTTTGGCAGATGTACGTATGTAATGCAAGTCTCTATGTAAAGATTCACATGGCTTTAAATTCAGTACTAGTCCCCAGAACAATCTAAAGTGAAGAAGCCTTTTGAATGAGCAGTGAAGCACATTCAATCCGGTTTCAGTCCAGTGATTTGGGTTCACGTCTCTCCAGATGTTGAAGAAGAAGATATAGCAGTTGGGGGTTTGGTGCCTTGCTCAAGGGCCCCTCGGCAGCACAGAGGAGGCAGGCTGGCACCTCTCCTGCTACCAGTTCACACTCCACATTTGTTTTGGCCGCGGACTTAAGCCGGTGGCCCTCTGGGTCCCAACCCAAGTCCCTATGGACTGAGTTACTGCCGCCCCCTGCACACTGTGAATCATTGAGATGAACTTTGACAAACATACTTTACTGTTCATATTGAAGTTCCTGTAGACAGTCCGGGCTCCATATAGGAAGGCGTCTCCATCATTAGTGATGCAGCCGTCCACCAGGCCTTGAGAGTCCAGGTAGGCACACATGGCCTCGGCCTCCCCAGCAGCTGTCACCCATGGCACACCCAGATAGTCCAACATCTCTGCACACTACAGAGGTAAGAGAAGGAAAACAGTGCCTCAATCCAATATGAAGTGACTATAATAAGAGATGCAGGTGAGTGGGGGAACAACCAACCTCTCTAAGTACAGCATTGAAGCGCCCTCTGCTGGTCTTTGTAGCAGCTTTAGGGGCAGAGGCCTTTTTGAATCCTCCATATCTTGTTTCTGCTCTCCTGCTCATGGTTTCTGCTTTAAGTTTAGGGGCTTCTCCCTCCATCACAAAGACAAGCTTCACCCCCATAAGCGTGAGGGTTGACACCCTGAAAAATAAATTCCTGAACACAAAAGGACAAGGCTTTCAATATTGAAATTGAAGCTAATATCTTACGGAATTAACTATAGAGCAATATGGGACACTTACCTCAGGTGGGGCTTGGTAACTCTCCCCATCATAGCCTGGACATGCTGGGCCTCGCACACCCACAGACTCAGATCAACTGCCAGTGTCTTTCCGCTCAAACTGTACAGCGGCACCGACTCACGAACCGGCTCGACGATGGACCACAGCTCTTGAACACCCATAACTTCCCCCAAACGGATTTTCACTTATCTAATAGATGGGAATGCGTAGAAAACAGTAACGCTTAACAACACAAAACGGAACAACGCCCCGTAGTTTTCAAACAGTGGCGCCGTTGGGCCGCGTCCCAATTCTTTCAACGTCTTTGTACTACGCTACCTTGTTGATGTATTGATTGTTACGTCGTTAAAATGAGCACAGTACAACATTTGAATTGTATATAAGTCACCTCTAGGCTTCCTATCTACTGAATATAGCACTTGCAGTCTCTTTTAGCATGTTTTTAAATAACAAGGTTGAAAGTAAGGGGACAGTCTCACAAAGTGGGTCGACGCCGGACAGTTTAACAGCAACGTCATATTAAAGCGCCTTCAAAAGCGTGTTGCCATGGAGACGAGGCTCCCGTTAACAAACTGAGGATATTTTTTACACCTTTTAAGCGTTTTTATTTTTCAGCCATGGACTCAAAAATACGCCTAGAAATTATCGGCTTAGTTAAAGACCGTAATTTTCATGTTGCCCGAAGTATTGCCGAAGTAAACCGCCATTTCCCTAGAGTTTTATATCGCATTATTGATTTGTTTTCACCTGTTTTCACCGTTAACAATACTTGATCTTTTTGTGTATGCGCCACAGGGACTAAAACAGAAGTTTCCCGATGCATTTCTGGAACCAAAAATTCGACCATTACTCGAATTTGACTGGCACTCATATCTGTGCAACAAGAAAAGGGTAAGTTTTCTGATTAGCCTATGTGTGTTTAAAATCCAGCTCGTCCAGGAGACTATTCAAATAGAGTTGTGAGGAGTGTTTGAAGTAAAAGTAGAGAAGTATTAGCAGTATATAAGACATAAAGTATCAAATACAAGTACTCATGAAGCAGTCACATCAGTTTTATATTACTAAATTATTATTAAATTGTTGTTATTAATGATGCATTACTGTGTAAACAACATTTAAATGTTCCACCTGGTCGAAGTGGAGCTCATTTTAATTAACTTTTAAATTGCTGGGCATTGTAGACTATTTTAGAATAATAAGAATAACAATAAAAGCAGGTTTTGATGAGCTATTATTTGAGCCATTATATGCATAATCTTAATCTGCAAAAAACGTATAATTAAAGACCTCAGATTAACACAGTGTGGTAAATAGTACAATATTTGCCTCTGAAATACAGTAGCTTATTGTAGAAGTGTAAAGTAAAATGAAATGTAAATACACGAGGAAAGACAAGTACATCAAAATTATACAGTACTTGAGTAAATATACTTATACTTTTTACTTTTTTTTTTTCCTTTATTGCTCTTGGTTGTACAAGCTGCAACAGCTTACTGAGGGTTGTACTCTACTATGCAGCTACACACGCTTACACAACACCATACAATACTGCTGTAGTTTTCTGTTATGGTCAGCCTATTCTGTAATCCCGAATCACAACACATCTGTTGTTCAACACTTGTGATTCAAGGAGCTGCGTGGTGAAGCGTGGCAGTACTCCAGCAGCCTGATGTGCTTTTTAAAAGGCCTTCTTCTCGGTAATGAGAAGGATCTCGCCAGCTGGGCCAAGAATCAGTGGAGTTTCACATTCACTCGGCCACAGGCTTTCTACATGGCTCTCACTGAGGACTGCTACACCAAACACCTCCAGAACACTGGGGCAAGTTAAAAAAAAAAAAAGAAATCTAAGTTAAAAAATATGGATTGAAAGTTCTTTTCTGTTTGTCATGGGAATCAGAAAGCAGGTCATTGACACCTGTACATGATAGGAAGCTAGCTTCAGTCATAAGAGACTCATCTAGATGAATATTACTCAGTTTTCTATTAAATCTGTAAGACCTTGAAAAGAATCAAACAAAAATACAATTCTTTGTCCTTTCATTACAGCATCCATTTGTCTTCATGGATATTGAGATAGCAGGAGAGCCAGCAGGGAGGTTACTGTTTGAGGTGAGGCACAAATTCACATAATTTCGCATTGCTTGCACAAACCACCTGTGTTATCTCAAACCTCTGACGTTTTCAGGCATTCTGTGTTATTGAATTTGACAGAGATATTGTATAAATCGCTGATATACAGAACAAAATGACCATTACAGAATAGCAGGATGTTAATAAGACACGTTGTCCTCCTGCTCCTCAGCTGTTCTCAGATGTTTGTCCAAAGACATCAAAGAACTTCGAGGCTCTGTGCACAGGAGAGCAAGGTCTGTCCCAGAGTGGCCTCCCACTCTGCTACAAGGGCTCGGTGTTTCATCGTGTGTTGCCCAACGGCTGGGTTCAGGGAGGAGGTATGGTCCACACTAGTCCTGAAACAATATGAATGACATGTAGTTGGTTTTCACATAGGAATTAAATACATAATCTCCCATTCAATGTTAGCATCAGTGCAGTTAATTTGATATACATGGGTTACATATATGCCACTTATAGAGATGTAAAATACATTGATAAACTGGGATTGTGGTCATGGCTATAATGGATTTAAACGCTATTTATTTCTGCTTGTAAAGGCTGCATTATATCTAAGTCTCATATTTTTTTAACTCAACTGACTCTTCTGTTTCCAGTAAATGAAATAAGCAGTGAACTACTAACATCCTGTCCACATTACTCATCTAAGCCCAACCGTTGTTTAGATTACGACAGCACCTAACGTTGTCAGCAAAATATCGTGGGATTTAGGAAGTGTGTTTTAACGGTGTCATTGTGGTACGGACGCAGACAGTAGCTTTACATTTCAATTTTGCAGATATATCACCAGAGAGAAAAGGTGATGGAGGGGAATCAATCTACGGACCGACTTTTGAAGGTTAAAAAAAATAAAAACAGTCAAAAACATCTACATGAGAACCCACTGTTAATGCATGTATCATAGTGGATTTATATGTACTGTCTGTAAGTTGTCCTTTCTCCTTTTAGATGAGAGCTTTGCTGTGTCCCACACTAAACGGGGCATCCTAGGACTGGCCAATAAGGGTCCACACAGCAATGGATCCCAGTTCTACATCACTCTGCAGCCGACACCGTGGATGGACAGGACCTACGTTGCCTTTGGGTTTGTGTCACTAATTTGACTTGAGAGATGTTTGATTAATTTCCCAATTCTGCATAATCTCAGGTCTCCTATACAGTTTTGTTTTTATTTTTCATTCTAGGCAAGTGGTTGAGGGTGTCGATGTCCTCAGGAGATTAGAAGAAACTCCGACCTGTAATGAAAGACCCAAATATGACTGTAAAGTTACAGATTGTGGAATGTTTCAGTTTTAGCACCGACACATTCATTTTGATGTTGTTTTAAATAATTGTCATTCATGTAGTAAAATAAAAATAATGCACATGTAATATATGACTTATATTTAAATACACACATGCAAAAAAAGTATTTTGATTTCTACAAAACTATATGTACTTTTAATTTGATATTTTATATGTGCATGTCTCAGATAAAATAAGGTTTGTGTCTTTGTGTCCCTGTCAACTAGGATTTTGTTAATCTGTATATGTGTGGTATTACTATACTTTTATAACAGTGTCTTGGTGTTTTGAGAGTTACATGTAGTATGTTTTTCCACAAAATACAAAGAGGTAGAACAAATGACATATATGACATTCAGTAATGTTATTTTGTATGTAGTATACAGCAGCCCAGAGTAAACCTGTGCAGGTACTGAAATGCAAAACCAAAGCTGAAAATAAGGTGAACTTTAACATACTGATTGGCAACTCAGACTTCTTCTCTATCTCTGCCAATAAGTACATTTTAATATGAGTTAATAAGAGAACTGTAGAGCATGGGTAGTTAACTAAAACTAAATTAAACCAAAAACTAAAAGTAGGTTTCAAAATAATAGTTCACTGAAATAAAAATAAAAACTTTATTCATCAGAAAATAACGAAAACTAACTGAAATAATATTGTGTACTCACAAAACTGACGAAAATTACGTAAAATACACAGGAAATGTCTCTAGTGTTAGTCTTTACCAGTTTGGTCAAATGTGTCAACACAAGACGCATTAGGAGGCATTGGTACTTAAGTTTATGGAGGCTGGAATGTCTACATGGAGCCTATCCCAGCTGACATTGGGCGAGAGGCAGGGTACACCCTAGACAGGTCACCAGACTATCACAGGGCTGACACATAGAGACAGACAACCATTCACACGCACATTCACACCTACGGGCAATATAGAGTCACCAATTAACCTGCATGTCTTCGGACTGTGGGAGGAAGCCAGGGTACCCAGAGAAAACCCACACTGACACAGGGAGAACATGCAGACTCTGACAGAAGGGCTCCCCCACCCAGGGTTTGAACCAGGAACCCTCTTATTGTGAAGTGACAATGCTAATTTGCTAATTGTAATGAAACGCGCTACAGTATACTCCCCTACTTATGTCCATCCACCCATTTTCATAACCACTTATCCTCTTGAGAGTCATGGGCTAAAATAACAATAAGTCATTCCTTGACATGGTCATTCTTCTGAGGTCATTTTGATGGAAGTAATGAAAAAGTAGTGTAATAAGACACACATTACAGACAGTACTGTTGTAAAGTAACATTCCTTTCAAATGGAAGTAACCACGAAATTAGATTTTGAGCCTAACATGCCCAGCACTGCTGCTTATAGGCCAGCAGTGATGGGGTTGGGGGCCACGGTGCATTTGTGCCCAGGGCCCTGTAGCGAGCCAATCAGGCCGTGGTTGTGAGAGGTTATTTTTAGTACATTAATATTACGTGTTTTGCGTCACAGCTGTACTTTCTGTCAGCTATTTGTTTCCAGAAACGTCTCCCTGAGGCCAACAGAAGTGACGCCTAGCAGTTTGGTTAATGATAATAAGGAGCTCCTCTCCCTCTTGCCTGTGACGTGGTGTCACTTCACGTACCCTCGTTTTTTCTCACTCCTCCCAGTAAAAAGTGCCACATGACCTGTCAAGTAGGAAGTAGCGAGCTAGCGAGCAGCAACAGCAGCAGCGACCAGTAAACGTAAGACGGGGAGGAAGCTGTGAAATCTCCGAAGTCTCATTCTCGACGTTTCTCGGCAGATACGTTTTCCCTGTTGGATCCGAAGGAGCAATAAGTCGGCCGCAGTCATGTACCTGAAGGTGCTGTTTTTCACCGTAGCTGTGGCTCTGATCGGCGCAGCAGCCGCGACAGACTCAGGTAAGTTTGCGACCTCTCAGTGCTGAGCTAGCGGCTAGCTACACACAGCCGTGTCCCTCCTTAGCTCGGTGAAGACATCCACCAGTAAACTGATTTTAATCTGTGACTGTGTGCCTCCATTTTTGGTCATTACAGTGGCCGTTGGTCGCCTCGCTTTGACAGTTGACACTTGTCACTCATCCTTTTTTAAAGCTTACAATGCTTACATGTTAGAAAAATATCCTTTTGGCAACTTGTCGGTTTTATCTGCACGCTCAAGTTATCAGATCCAGCTAACGCTTTAGCCTGCTAGCAAGCTGTGGGACCTGAAATTAGATTTAACCTGTGTAACCACAATATCTCTCCCATAATTCGAATGATAAGAGGCCACAGGGCTGAGTTATTGACTCTGGTGTAACCCCAATTGCCAGATCCAGTTGATCAAGAACCAGATTAGCTTGTTATGTAACAGCCTACATGTTTTCTCTCAGTTGTGTCACATTTTAAGATTCATAACAACGTAATGCCTTGCTGTTTTTGTTCCCACTAAAAGGTTTGACTCTGTTATTATAAGTCACCCCCTCCACATTGTATGGCAACATCTGGAGAACCACAGTTTCATTTTCCACCACATGTGGGAAGTTAACGATATTGAAAAACTACCACAGCTAAATTTGATTCATGATTTCTTTGCAGATGGATGCACCTCTCTGTCCTGTGCTTTATGTGAAACCGTTAATGACTGCCAGTGGGCTAACTGCACATCATGTGAGTATCTGTCCTGTGTGTGTGTGGCAGGTTGCACAGGTTGGTCTTTGTGTGTCCTAAATTGTCCAGATAGCTGAGCTGATTGGACACATGATTCCTGGGTATGGGGAGAATGTATAGCAGAGTGGATGCTGACTTTTAGATGATGTCATCTCAATATCCCTAAAGCCTGAGCTGTATCGTAATTGTCTGGCAACGCCAGCCAAACACTGTGGATGTCTAGGTTGGGGCTAAATTCAGCAACTTATTGCATAGACTCACTATTTCTTATCATAACAGATTTATCGTATAGTACTGGCAAGGCAAGGGAGGCAAAGCCTGAATTCTTTTGGACATTTAAGTCTCACTTTTATTCTGGTTGTGGTGTTGCTGCCCTTTGCTTACATCTCCCTATCGCCGTCCCGTAACTTCATTATGCTAATGGGAATGTCTGTCTAAACATGAGTTTGAGAAATCTGTCTGACTTCTGCACCATAGCACGTAGGATGTGGAGAAATATGCTGCAGTGGTATTTTTCAACCCTAATTTGGAAGTCTCGCTGGTTGTGATTTAGAAATATGCATCATTCAGTAAAAAGAAGTTGCCATAACAAAAGTGTATGACCGATTGTTTCCTGAGTCGACCAATGGCTTTCCATTGGCTGCGTGCTCCTCTTACGGTTTGTGGTTTTCAGCAGGAGAGGAGAGTGTTCACGTTGTTATCAGTGTCAAGAGATGAAGTTGCACGTTTTATGAGTAAAGAGGAAATCAGGTGTCATAATCTTTTATCTTAAAATCATAGCTTTGACTCACAGATTCCTTTTGCAAATATGAAAAAAATGTGTAATAAACTCTTGTGATTATGGGCTTTAAATCAAACTTCTGGCTATCTGTTTTGCAGCCAAATGCCACAATAGACCTCTGGCCCAAACCTGAACCTTGTACGTGAAAAAGAAATCCTCTTAAGCATTGTGTTTATTGACCATATCGCCCCGGAGGGCTGTACTCCAGTGTTGGCCTGAGTTCAGTGTGTGTGTCAGATATACACAGGTCTCTGGTGATTGTGAATAAAATGAACAAGAGAGGAAGCGCAGGGGATGTGTGGCAGGAAGCCTTCAATATCCTCACGCTGGGGAACAGAAGGAAGGAGAGGATAACGGCACGAGTTAGAGGAAAGAGTGTGCAGATAGGATACAAGATTAGTTTCATGTGCCTTGTTCTCATAATTTATGTCTCGTGTGCAGTTCGGAGTGTACTGTGATCTCGTACATTCCAGTTTTCATTAGGCTCAGAGAATGAAAGATAACTCGTGTAGTCTCAACTGTATGACCTGTCGATCTAGCATATACAAACCCATTAAGCTTTGCTCCGACAACAGCGAACAGAAATAGGATAAGCAGCACAGGTATTTTACGTCTCATGGGAGTCAACCTGTTTGACAGCTTTCCCAATGAGAAGCTTTGATTCTCTCCAGGAGAGGGTGTTTACTGATTTGATGATCCCACACCCTCCTTTTGCTTTGTTTCTGAAAGTTGAATATACTTCTATTGATTCATTACATAAGGAATCATTAGGCAGTTGAACAGGACAGGTAACATGATGATTAAATACCTCTTCTCAGAGACAAGTGGGACAAGATAGTTTAGCTTGTTGTATTTCCCAAGGGTCCAAGGGAGGAACCTGTACAGGTTTACAATTACAGGAAATAACAAACTCTCTGAGAGAAAAAAAACAAAATCAAAAACAAATGTATCGAGATCTGTGCTAGTTATAAGTTTGTAGTCTGTTCACAAATGTTTTAGTTTATAGTGTGAGTTTATATTGTACGCAAGATTTGCTTAGCAGTTATTTTTTCCCTTGATCCTTCAATGTTAATGTACACAAGGACACATTGTTAAAAGTATTTGGGAGATTCATCTGTGTTTGTGTTGGAAAATGTGCCTCTACTACCCAAACACTCTCCTCGCTGTTACACACTCAAGCAAACAACTCTGACAAGCCTGCTACACAGGATACAAGCAGGTTTAACAGTGCTGAACAACACTGACTGCTTACGGCACAAACACACACACACACACACACACACCAAGTAAGCCTAGAGCTAAAGCCTTTCACAAACCCGAGAATGGATCACCTATTTCATATGAACTCAGCAAAAACCGGAAAGGTCAGCTCTGGCTGAAGCACAGCATAACCACACTGCTGCAACGCCTACCACATTGTCATTACCAGATTTATCTTCGGTTTAGGGAATTTGTGTACACAAGGCTCTGGCGTCAGAGGCACATTTCCCTGCAGCCCAGTGTTTAAACGCTCAAAAAACTTTACACGTGTACACGCAAGCTCTGCACTGCCTCTAAGTACAGCCCGTAGTCTGTGACAAAGCTGGTCGGGTGCTCTTAACCAA